CTGATGAGGATGGTGATGATGCTGATTATGATGATGATGATGCTGATGAAGAGGATGATGATGCTGCTGCTGATGATGATGATGATGCTCACGATTGCGATGATACTATTGACTGATGATTGATAGTCGTGCTTGATGATGATCATGATGATGAGATTATGCTGCTGATGATGATGGCGATGATGATGATTATGATGATGATGATGATGATGATGATGATGATGACGATGCCGATGATGACGATGATGCTGTTCCTGATACTGATGATGATGCTGATGATGGCGATGATGACGATGATGATGATGACGATGATGATGCTGATGAGGGCGATGCTGCTGATGCTGCTGATGACGATATTATTGTTGTCGATGATGTTGCTGATCAGGATGCTGATTCTGATGCTTTTGCTGATGATGTTGCTGATGATGGTGCTACTGCTGATGTTGATACTGATGATGCTGTTGCTGATGCTGATGTTGATGTTGATGACGACGACGACGATGATGATGATGCTGATGATGATGATGATGCTGATGATGCTGATGATGATGCTGATGATGCTGCTGCTGATGCTGATGCTGATGATGACGACGATGATGATGATGGTGATGATGATGCTGATGATGCTATTTATTATGTTTTTGATGATGATGCTGTTGCTGATGATGGTGCTACTGCTGATAGTGATAATGATGATGCTGAGGCTGATGTTGATATTGATGATGACGACGATGATGATGCTGATGATGATGCTGATGATGCTGATGATGCTGATGATGCTGCTGCTCATGCTGATGCTGATGCTGCTGATGATGATGATGACGACGATGATGATGCTGCTGATGATGATGCTGATGATACTGCTGCTGATGATGATGGTGACGACGATGATGCTGATGATGATGATGATGATGATGATGACGATGAGGAGCAGGAGGAGGAGGAGGAGGATGAGGAGGGAGAAGAGGATGAGGAGACGGCGAAGAGGAAGAGGAGGGGGATGAAGAGGGGGAGGGGGAGGCGGAGGGGAGGGAGGAGGGGGAAGAGAAGGCGGAGGAGGATAAGGAGGATCAGTGTACATCCAAAGCGCATCAATGACGTTGCAATAAATCTTCCAAGCTCTCTCTTCACCGGTCCCTACAAGAAACTACGTTCATTTCAAGAAGCGGCCCATTGAAAGACAACAGTTCGACTCATTCAAACAACGAATTTCACCCACCCCGACTTCATACAACAGTTTCGTATTACTTTTAAGCGTGGTCGGATTCGTGCACTTTTCAAGGTCAGGCATCATTCCAAGTAAGAGTCACATATCGTGCCACCACACCATACCTGGAAGTTCAACGCCGCGAATTAATGTGGCTGTTGTGTCTTGGCCATTCCTGAATCGTGCCAGATGTCCGTTCCTGGGATTTGAACATCCCGAATCCATGTGATTGTTGTGTCCTAACAATCCTAAACCGTGGCATAGCACAATTCCTTGGAGTTCAACCATACGAGCTCTTGAATCAGGTGCAAGCTTTTACGACGAGTGTGCGCGGCGCTAAGCAGAGAACCAACTTTTGAAACGGAGCAGGCCTCCTTCTTTGCAGGTGTTGCAAACATTTCAGGCGAGTGTGCGCGGCGCCAAGGTGAGAGCTACATTTCGACAACCGGCCCATCATCGATCCCTGAAACTGCTGCAAACTTTCGAGACGAATGTTCGCGGCGCGAAGGCGAGAGTATCATTTTGAAAACGGCCCACCCTCCATCCGTGAAGCTGCCGCAAAGTTCAAGCTTCAGGGTCATGACACGTCTGGGGCTGCGACAGGGAGGAGTTCTTCATAAGGACAAGGGATCGAGGATGATGCGGAGGAGGACCAGAGTAAACCGAAGCAGCAAAAGCGATGCTGCAACCCACCCTCCCGTCTCAAGGCTATTCCTAATACGCCCCTACCAGTCATCTTTTTCACTACAAGATGCGCCCCCCCTTGAAGGACCAGAATCGTTGGGCTTGCCATCTCGACGATGGCCCCAGTTAGACAAGGAGCCGCCCTGCATCTTTCCGGCGCGGACTCAGGAAAGCGAAGAACAATGCTCATCGAGTTCAATTGGGTGTCTAGCGATACCACCCTTTCGAAGAAGGACCGCCCACCATCCGTGTACTTGTTGCACACACATTGACTCTTGTCGTCATGAACTTCGAGGAAGTCTCAAGTGACGGCTCCACTATGAAGAAGATCCGCAATGCATCCTTGCAGCGCTTAGTGGGTCGACGTCTTCGGCGAACACACCATTGTGAGATAGAGCAGCCCTCCACCCTGCTCAGCGTTGCATGACAAAACGAGTCTGCGCGGCACTCTGGCGAGAGCCCCGTCCTGAAAAGGAACCGCCCTCCATCCGTCAAGCTGGTGCGAATTCTTGTACACACGTGGCGCGGCGCTACTGCGAGAATGGCATTCTGAACACGACCCCCCTCTCACCCGTGCGTGCAAGCCTTTCAGACAAATGTGCACGGCGCTAAAGCGAGAGCCGCATTGTGGAAACGACCCGCCCTCCATCCCTGAAGCTGCTGCAAGCTTTTAAGACGAGTGTGCGTGGCGCGAAGGCGAGACCCATACTTTTTTCAAGGAGCGACAATCCGTCCGTGAAGCTGTTGCAAATCTTTGAGGCGAATGCGTGCGGCGCTGGGGCGAGAGCCGCATTATGAAAAGGAAGCGCCCTCCGTCCGTGACGCCGGCGAATGTGCACGGCGCTAAGGCGAGAGCCACATGTTGACCTTTCTCTAGCCGCGCATGTGTATCGGACTTTCAAGACGCATGTGCGCGGCGCTAAGGCGAGAGTCGCATTTCGTAAACGAGCCACTCTTCATCCGTAAACTTGTTGCAACTTTCACGCTTGAGGATTATAAATGGTGAGAAAGCCCAGGAGCAACGCCCGCCCCGCCCTACCGAGAGGCCTGGGGGTGCGACAGGGAGGAGTTATCGATGAGCGCAAACGGGGTTGAGGGGCGGGAGACAGAGGAGTTGGATGAGGAGGATGGGGACGAGAAGAACGAAGCCGAGCACGGGGGATGATGATGATGACGATGATGATGATTATGATGATGGTGATGATGATGATGATGATGATGATGATGACGGTGATGATGATGGCGCTGATGATCATGATGATGATGAGATGATGCTGCTGATGTTGATGATGATGATGATGATGACGGTGACGATGACGGCGACGACGACGACGATGATGTTGATGTTGATGATGATGATGATGATGTTGATGATGATTATGATTATGAGTAGGACGATGATGATAATGATGATGCTGAGGCTGATGCTGATGCTGATGCTGCTGCTGCTGATGATGATGGTGACGACGATGATGATGATGATGATGATGATGATGATGATGATGATGATGATGATGATGATGATGATGATGATGATGATGATGTTGACGGGGATGCTGATGCTGCTGCGGATGATGCTGATGCTGATGCTGATGCTGTTGCTGATGCTGATGCTGCTGCTGCTGATGATGATGACGATGATGATGATGATGATGATGATGATGATGATGATGATGATGATGATGATGATGATGATGATGATGATGATGATGATGATGATGATGATGATGATGATGATGATGATGATGATGATGATGATGATGATGATGATGATGATGATGATGATGATGATGATGATTATGATGCGGAGCAGGAGGAGGAGGAGGAGGAGGAGGAGGAGAAGGACGAGGAGGATGGATGAGGAGTACGAGGAAGACGAGGGGGAGGACGCGAAGAGGGCGCGGATGAGGAGGAGGAGGCGGAGGAGGAGGAGGAGGACGCAGAGAAAGATCAGGAGGAGGAGGAGGAGGAGGAGTTTGTGGAGGAGGAAGAGGCGGAGGAGGATAAGGCCAGGGAGCAAGAGGGTGGTGATGAGGACTGTGAGAAGGAGGAGGAGGAGGAGGAGGAGGAGGAGGAGGAGGAGGAGGAGGTGGAGGAAGAGAAGGGCGACCATCGTCTACTCTCCTAGTCCTCCAGCTCGTCGTCGTCCTCGTCCCTTCACGTCGTTTTTGATCCAGGATCGTCCTACGGAAAACCGCTTCAGGAGAGTCCGGTTCAACGAAGATTCAGTTCAGCAGAGACTGATTCAACAGAAGCCGCCCCTGCCGAAAAGGCCTTACACATCTTGGGCACGCCCGACGAGGAAGAGGAAGCCTGATAACCAGAGGCAGAGGCCCGAACGATCTTCCACTGCAGGCTCATGGGCGCGAGGGTGAAGCGCTGCCACGCTGGAGCGGATTGCCCCGCCTCGCCGCCGGCGGAAAAATGTTTTGTTCCATTTGCCCATCAGTGCCCCTAATTAGACCGACACTGGTGCGGATCGCGTCCGCCTCGCCGCCGACGGAAAAAATATGACCCTTGTTGTTTTCGCCCTATTGTGTGGGCGGGGGCGGGAAGGGGCGTTGGTGCCTCTCGCGACCGGGGCTACGTTTGGAACGTCGGCGCGGATGGCGTCGCCATCGTGATGGGTCGTAGAAGTGGGCGAGAGTCTGTTCAGACCACTGTTGCGTCCCGACGCTTGCGCGTGACATCGATCGATCCGACTGCGCACGCCCGCGCGCGCCCCCCCTTCTGCGCAGACGGGATTTCAATTCGACCGGGTCGACTGCGCGGCACGGGCGATTCGGGCGACCTGCGATTCAGGGCAGCCTCGGGGCAGCCATCAGGGGGTGGCGCCATGGAGCCAGAAACAATGGGTAGGAAAGGGACCGTTAGAAGGTTGTGGAGGGGGATGAGCATGATGGCGACTCCGCCACGCGCAGAGAGGGGTAGGAAGAGGGGGAAAGCCGGCGCCTTCTACGAAACAGCCTCCTTCTGAGAAGCCTTCCCCCCTCTCCCTAACCCGCTTGTGCGCGCCGCCAAGCGACGACGCCGACGACGACGAGGTCGACTCCGACAGCGTGAAGGCAGCCACGAGCGGAAGCAGAGGACATCGATCCCGCCAGCGAAGCCGCCTCCTGCGCAGCCATGTCGCTTGGACGTGTCGCCGCCGTGGTGGCGCTGGCGGGCCGCGCGGCATCCCTCGTGGCCCGCGGCCCAGCGGCATCAGCAGGGCGGGCAGGAGGAGGAGGAGGAGGAGGAGGAGGAGGAGGAGGAGGAGGAGGAGGAGGAGGAGGAGGAGCAGGAGGGCCACAGTCAAACCAAGATACGTCATGATGCGGCAATGCACCCTTCGGTCACACATTTTCCCCCGCCAGTCCTTACAGACCTAGTTCTCCAATGCAATACACACGAGGCTCCTTGAAAGACCAGCACCTTATGAGCCTGCCATTCAGGCGAGAGCCCCGTTTATCAAAGGTATGGCCATTTTTCAGCGAGGTATTCAACGAGATCCCCATGATGAAAAATGGCCGCCCCGTCCGTGCAATTATTGCACACGTTCACACTCCTGGCAATGCGCACCAAGGTAGTCTCAAGCGAGAGCCCCAACTTGAAAAGGAACCGATATTCATCCCTGCAGCTGCTATTCGTCGAGGTGCCTGGTATTCATGTACATTTCAGGAAGTCTTAAGCGAGAGCCTCGTGGTGACAAGGAACAGTCGCCTGCCCTTTCTGGCACTTGTTGCTCGCGACGAATCTGCGTGAGGCTGAGGTGATAGCCCTATTTCGGAAAGGAATCGCCCTCCATTCTTGGAGCTGCTGCGAGCTTTTCATACGAACGTGCGCGGCACTAAGGCGACAGTCCCAGTTAGAAAAGGAGCCACCCTCCATCGTTGTAGCTGTTGTGTTTTTTTAAAACGTATGCGCGCGGCGCTACAGCGGGAACCCCATGCTGAGAAAGAAACCGCACTCCATTCTTGTAGACGTTGCGAGCTTTTGAGACGAATGTGCGCGACGCTAAGGCCATAGCTTCATTTTGTAAACTTGCCTGGCGAAGGACCCAACCATATGCAGCTGTGAATCACGCAGGGTATAATCCCTCTCCTCGTAGGCAGCGCGCCGCGAGAAGGACGGGGCACATGGACAGGACATGCGGATGGAGGCGACGGGACGTGTGAGGAGTGTTCCGAAATATGGATTGGGGCACGCATGTGAACCCTGCCACGGGAACCCTCGGGGGAGCTCCCTATGGGGCCACGCAGCTCGTGAGGAGTGTACCGAAATGGGCTGGGGGACGCATGCGAGCCCTGCCACATGAGCCTTCGGTTGAGCTCCCATGTGAGGTCGCGAAACTTGTGATGGGTGCGCCGAAGTCGGCTGGGGGACGCAGGCGGACCCTGCCACCCCTCGGTGGAGCTCCCTACGGGGCCACGAAGCGTGTGAGGGGTGCGCCGACATGGGCTGGGGGACGCGTGCGGACCCTGCCACACGAGCACTCGGGAGAGCTCCCCATGGGGCCTCGAACCGTTTGAGGGGCTCGCCGAAATGGGCTGGGGGACGCATACGGACCCTGCCACGGGAACCCTCGGATGAGCTCTCCATGGGGCCGCGAAAAGTGTGAGGGGTGCGCCGAAATTTGCTGGTGGACGCATGCCAACCTTGCCACGGGAACCCCCAGGGGAGCTCTCTATGGGGCCACCAAGCGTGTGAGAGGTGTGCCAACACGGACATGCGGTTGGCAGAGGTAGGGATGGGAGGAGGGAGGAGGGGCAGAAGGAGAGGAGGAAGGCGACGCAGGGCATTGTCTCTTCCACAGGAGGATCCAAACCACATATTGGCCTTGAACACTCCGCTCTCTATCCTTGCAGCTGCTGCACGGCTTTAGACTTAGGCGAACGTGCTCGGCGCTAAGGCGAGAGCCCCATTTGGAAGACGACTTGGGCTCCATCATTGTAAGTGTTCCAAACTTCAAGCTTCGGGATCATACGCGGCTTAAGTCGGGCCTGTCCCTCTACAGGAGCAATTTTCAAAAATAGTCAAAAATAGTACGGGGACGATTTTTTGACCCTTTTTTTTGGGGGGGGGGGGCATTTTGGAGTATTTTTTGAATATTCTTTATTTTTCATCCAAAATCCACCTCGAGGGGCACATGCCCGACTTAAAACACGACTCTGGGCTCTCGTCCTCTGGGCGCCCGCGGGCGCCCCGTGGGCGCCCGCGTGCCCCGGCCCGCGCTTCCAGACTCCTGGCCGGTGGACGCGCGCGGGCGCCTCGTTGGCGGGCCTATGCGCGGGTGGCTTCTCTGAGTGCAGGCGGGGGTTGCAGCACGTGGTGTGCGGCACACACTTTTTTGATCCGCGGGTCGAGAGCGGGGCCTCACGTCAAGGTGCAGCACACACACACACACACTGCACCACAGAACTTGCAGACCACCTGCTGCACGACATCCATGGCATCACACAGATTGCACCACGCAGATGGCACGACGCAGCATCCAGCACATTGCTTGTACCACAAAGCGTGCGCCGCATGTATTGCACGCCTCAGAGTGCATCATGCCGATTGCACCCAACACACGTCATAAGCTATAATGCACCACGTGACTTGCGCCTCCTAGTCCGTACAACCTAGATTGTATCCCATACGTTGTTTCACATGTGCGGCACCACATGAGGGTGTCCTGTTAATTCCGTCGTCTCTCTCTCTCTCTCTCTTTCTCTCTTGTTCGCATGCTCTGTTACAGTAAACTTGTTGTATTCAGAGTCTGCTCCCTCCACTGCAGAACAGCGTGCATGCATTAACGGTTCTGGCACGTTGGATCGTGCGTCTCCACCTCGGTCTTCTGTCTTTTCTCTTGTCCTTCCGCTGTGTGGGGCTTCAATTTGCGGTTGCCGCCATCGTTCTGTGTGCGCACGAGTGTTTCTGTTTCTCCTGCTGCTGGTCTCCTCCCTCCCCGCTTGCTCCTCGCCTTCGCTGCCCTTCCCCTAGTTGTGCTGTTCTCTCCGCTTCCCTGGCCCCTCTCCGCTGCACCGTTGTTGTGTGACGCATCGCTTTAGGTTCGTGCAGTCATGAGCGCCTTGTGTGTGTGTGTGTGTGTGTGTGTGTGTGTGTGTGTGTGTGTGTGTGGGGGACACAATGTACGGTAAGACGTGCATTGCACCACATGGATTGCACCACAGGTAGTGAAACATGTCGACTGCAACACGTAGTTTTCAACGTGCACGTGTTGCACCACGTATTGCACGCGGAGGGTGCAAGACGGGCCCACGCTGGCAAACATCTCTGCTCGACGGGGCTCCTGGTCCAGGCGAGGCTAGAGTGGATCGAGTACACGAGGAGGTACGTCGGGTGGACGAGAGACACCTGCATCGGTGCAGGTGCATGCCAGGTCAGGGGCTTCTGTGCCTGGTCCGGGGTCAGCGCCTGTGGAGGTTCTGGGGGATCCTTCGGGGCTTAAGGGAATTCTTTGGGGTTATATGTGCTATCCGGATTTCCCAGCGGGTTCTAGGAGTAGAGGTGACGATGACGATGACGATGCTGATCAGGAGAAGGAGGAGGAGAGGGATGGGGAGGAGGAGGAGTTGGAGGAGGAGGAGGAGGAGGAGGAGGAGGAGGAGGAGGAGTTGGAGGAGGAGGAGGAGGAGGACGAGGAGGAGGAGGAGGAGCAGGAGGAGGATGAGGATGATGACGAGGAGGGAAGGGTATAGGGAAGATGTTAAGCAACCGCAGCAAAGAAGGAGATAACTCTCGAGTCATATCTGAAGGGGGAGATGTTGGAGGATGGAGTGGGGAGAGGGGGAGGGGACTCGCAGGTCGGGAGGTGGAGAGCTGTGGCGCAGAGTGGGCCCGTGCCGTTTGGGAGCGGCTCCCTCCACGTAGGCATGTGAGGGGAGGCAGGCGAGGGATTTGTGGAATCCAACCTCGTCGCCATCCGTCTCGTCTGGCTGGGGACAACTCCGCGACGGCCTGGGCCACCCGGCCCAGCCGTGCGGGCGTCCTGAGCAGTCTCGGCAGGTGTGGTGGAGGAGGGGCGCATGATCTTACGACCTCGTCTTCGTCCTCAGTGATTGTGAGGGGGGCGGGGGGCCCTGCGAACCCGTGCGCAGGGAGGGGAGGGGAGGAATGGTGGGAGCGACAACCTCCTCATCATCTTCTTCCTGGTGGTGGCAGTCCACGGGTTCGGCACGGCGGCCGTCCCAGGCAGGCATGCTGCACCCAGGGCAGCCAAACGCAATGTGACGGTGTGGGGCGCAGCCCTCGACCCGAAGCTCGGGTCCCGCAAGGGCCAGGCAGCCGCGCCGAGCGTCGCCAGCGCGCATGCACGTCGTTAGGACTAGCTGCGGATGGCGCTTGGCCGTGCATGCTGGGGTGAGGGTAATCGGGTGAGGAGAGGTGGGCTTCCTCCTCATAGTCATAGTCTTCATTCTCGTCATCGTCGTCGTCGTCTTCGTCGTCGGCCTCGGACCCCCATGTGCCAGATGCGGGGCGGTCGAGCCCCGCCTGGTATTGGTGCTCGAGGGCGGCCAGTCGCGTGGGCGGTGGCGCACGGCTCGGGGCCGTCGCGACCGCAGCGGTGAGATGGTTGGTATGCTGAGGGTAGTCGGGTGACGGGCGGTGGGTGCCTCTCGTGGTCTCCATGCTCGTTGTCGTCTTCGTCGTCGTCGTCGTCGCCTTCGGACCCCCACGTGCCAGATGCGAGGCGGTCGAGCCGCACCTGCAATTGATGCTCAGGGGCGGCCAGTCGCGTGGGCGGTGGCGCGCGGCTCGGGGCTGTCGCGGGCGCCGTGGTGCAATACTCGGTAGGGTCACGCCGTCGGTTACGACGGATCGCGAAGGTCTTGGGGTCGGCAGGTTGCTCCGTCGCAAGGGCGGGGTCTGAGGTGGCCCTGGTCACGGTGGTCGGGCGGGGGCGGTGTTGGGGGAGGATCGACTGGCCTCCGCTTGCCCGTGGCTTGCGTGGGCCAGGCAGCCGGGGCGGCCTCCGCGATAGGGCCAGTAACGGCGGGGATGCCGGTGCTGTCAGGGACAACGAAGCGGCTGTAGTTGATGAAGGTCACGGCCCCCATGGTGAGCTTGCCGTAGAGTCCAGCCAGTCGCGCCGCTGCGGGAGTGACGCTGCGAACATGGTCCTGGCCGGGGATATCCCTGCCGCGGGCTGGGCTACCCGGCTCAGCCGCGCGGGCGTCTTGAGTAGCCGTGAGTGGCACATAGGACCGAAAAGGGGCGCAGGATTTTGACTTCTCGTCTTTGCCTTTCTCGTCGACGACTCCTCGGTCTCCATTCGGCCTTGGGCTGGCATCCCAGCCAGTAGCCGTGGCCTGGGCGACGGCCGTGGCAGCAATGTGCACGCGGGCACGCATGGAGGGCGCGTGACGGGATGCAGGCGAGGGATTTATGACATCCACTTCGTCGCCGTCGGTCTCGTTTGGCTGGAGACAACTCCGCCACGGCCTTGGTCACCTGGTCCAGCCGTGCGCACGTCCTCAGTAGCCACGCGTGGGAGAAGGAAGTGAAGAGGGACGACGGATCTGAAGTCCTCGTCCTCGTCCTCGGTGATGGGCGGGGGGCCCTGCGCGCCCGTGTACAGGCAGAGTTGGGGGGGGGGAAGGATGGTGAGAACGACAACCTCCTCGTCGTCCTCCTGGCGGTGATCGTCCCTGGGCCTGGCCCGACGGTCGACTCGGGCAGGCGCGCCGCGCCCCAGGACGTACCGTCGCGGCGTGACCGCCTCGAGCGCAACCCTCGACCCGCGAGTCGGGGCCGTGCTCGACGGGCACGGCGGGAGGCGTGGGGGCCGCAGAGGTGCGCGGAGCGTGTCGGAGGTCGGCGCCCGCTCTTTGTGACGGCCGCTGCAGCCTCGTCGTCGTCACCGTGCACCCCTGGGGGGTGGGCGAGGGAGGATTCGCTGGAGATCGATCCTGGGGCAGCTGGGTGTTGGCTTCTTAGGGTGCTGCGGTGCGGGTGGCGACGGGGACGTCGCTTTGGGGCTCGCAGAGCCGTGCGGAGCTCTTGCAGGAGCTCGCGGGTGTGCACACGGAGGGCTTGATGGCCAGCTCGAAGCCCGTGCGTGAGGACGTTCCAGTGGACGTTCTCTTGGGATCCTCCGAGGCGCGGGGCACCAGAGGTTAGTCCAGGCGCGCGTCACCTGGGACGTCGCGCAGGGTTCCGCAGGGTTCGTGGAGTAGAGTGGCAGGAAGCTCGAGGCGCGGCACTCTCAAGGAAATGTTCGTGCCGACATTGATGACAAGGCATTCACTGAGGCACGCGTGTCGGCGGCGAGCGAGGGGGGGAAATCCGAAGGAGAAGGACTTCTCAGAAGGCGGCGGGACTTCTCAGAAGCCCTCGCGCCTTTGGAAGGTTCTCGTTGTCCTCGGGGAGGGCTCAGAAGGCTCCTCAGAAGGCCTGGGGGACCTCCGAGCCTTCCGATAAGGCCCGCCCCTTCTCACTTCCCTCCCAGGCTCGCCGCCGAGCGCGGGCGTGCTGCACGTCGTCCTGCATGGCGCGCGGGCCCCCGTGCCGTGACGGCGGGGCGAGGGGTGAAGACTTAGTCGTCGCGCGGGGGCCCCCTTGCCCGTGGCGGCCGCGGCGAGTGGAAGGCCTGGGAGGACGGTGCCGCTCAGTGTCCTCGGCACAAAGAATCGAGGCGGCCTCGGGGGGTGGGCACCGTGGCTCCTTTGGCGCGCGAGGGCCCCCTGAGCTGAGGCCTGAACCAGCATTGCCTCGGATAGAGAGAGAGAGAGAGAGAGAGAGAGAACGCAAGAGCAAGAGGGAAAGAAGGGTCTATACAAGTTCGAATGCCAATTCAACTACACATACAACTACAAATGCACATGCAAATGAACTTGCACATGGCAATACAACTGCAAACGCAACTGGACATGCGCATGCAAACACACATTTGCATACACATATACAAATATCAGTGCACATGCAAATTGACATGCAAATGCCAATGCAAATCTTTCACGATGTATACATATGCATACACATCCATTCCATATCCTGCATTCTACCATACCATATCACGTTTCTATGATACCACAGTGTATCATCTTATGCGAGGTTATATCTTATTATCGCATGCTATATCATGTTTCCCCACATTGTCTGATTATATATAGTATACGACATCATACACTATACTATCATAGCCTCTTGCATCATAGTGTGCTATCTCGCATCATATGAACTTGCATTGCGACAAATTCTGCAATATTATGTTTTATAGTATTATCGGAAACGCTGTTTTATTATACGATGCAATACTTTGGCACCATGCTACATCATAGGATGCGACTTCATTCGCGTTTACCAAATCATACCATTATATCTTATCTCATGTTGTATCAGAGTCTGTTGTATTACAGTATCTTGTATGGCTGTTTCAACAGATGGTGCTATATTATGTTCAATATATCATTTTGTCTTACAGATCATCGTGCGATACATCGTAACGTCGTGCATTCCATATTATCGTATCATGTTCCAGTCTTCTGTATTTGTCCTACTGTGCCAAACTAGACCATATTATGACCAGTTGTAGTGCCATGCGTGATATGATGCGTACTGTTCAATGTTTCTGTACCTTATATCATCTGGTACTAGCTGGTACTGCATTATTTTGTTTGTGCGAGCTTTAGCTCCCATTGAAGTATGATAGACTCTGTCATGATGTGCTGTGTTGTATTAGGTGTCGTATGATGTTGTCGTGGTCTATATGGTGTGAGATGCTGATATGGTCTATGGTAATTGACTGCGCCGTATCATATCATGCCACGGCATGGCATTTCATTCTGCATCATATCATATCACATTGCACTGTATTTTCCCAGGCCGTACATTACATGGTATCATGCTAGGTTTTACCACAGTATACTGTATGCCGTCTTGCTCTCTTTGCATGGTATTCTCATATATTATATACACTAAATAACAGTATTACTTTATGCTGTATTCTGTTAGGTGTTGGTGCATGTTTAGCCTTACGTTCATTACATTACATTCCTGTTTTTGTATTATGTCATTGTTTGTATTGTGCCATATTATATGGCACGATGTGCGCTCACACTTTATCATAACATATGATCGGTTTACCACATTCCTGATACACTCTTCTATGACTAATTTTATTAGGTAGCATGTTACACAGTACGAAGTAAACCAACTGTATATGCGTACCAAATGACATATCAAAGACGCCCACGGCGAATCACCGCCGCCCCCTGCCCTTGTGGAACCGCCTCTGTGGCCGACAGCTGGGCTAGAGCTTGGCCAGGCTATCGGGCCAGTTGTTCCCCGAGTTGGTCTGGAAAGCCTTCGGGGAACGCGTGGGGGAGCAAGAGGTTTGAAATCGCCCATGTGTCCGAGCGTTGTGGCAAGAGCTCTGCCACGATATCGGACCATGTGTTCCCCCAACCGTTGTGGAAACCCTTCGGGGAACACTTGGGGGAGGATGGCGGGAAGATCAGGAGGAGGAGGAAGGTGAGGAGAGGAGGAAGAGGAGGAAGAGGAGGAGGAGGAGGAGGAGGAGGAGGAGGAGGAGGAGGAGGAGGAGGAGGAGGAGGAGGAGGAGGAGGAGGAGGAGGAGGAGGAGAGGGAGGAGCCTGAGCGTTCCAATTGACACGGCTGGAATCGTGACTGAGGTGCACCAGGCCCCTGGGTTGGCTGGCCCAGGCTCAGACATCTTCAACACGTCGAGGGTCGCCATCCAGTGGAGCGAGACGAGGCGTGGGCATCGGCTTTGTGAAGCTCCATGGATCCATCCCTCCGCCCTTCCGACCGTCCTTCCCCCTCCACGTCAGAGACCTCCCTTCCCCCCCCCCCTTCCGCTCCTCGCTCCAGCGTCCCACCCTCTCTGCCACTTTCCCTTCCCCCCTCCGCCACTTCCTATCCCCTCCCCCGCCCCTAACAGTTCCCATCCCCTTCCACCGCCTTCCCTCCTTCACGCTTCCCCTCCTCTTCTTCCCGCTCCCCCCCCTCCTCCGTCCCTCCCTCAACCTCTCCTCCCCCCCCTCCCTCTCGACAATTATACAATATGACAATTATTCTCCTCTCTCTCCTGATGACGTCCAGAAGATGTACGGCCCCCCTCCGCGTGCATTTTTTTTACCCAGGATTCCCGGGAGTTGGGCTTTCTCGCTTAGTTTTTTGTTTTTTCTCCAACTGTTGCTCCCGCTGAGGCGCTGGCATCATTTTCGGGCTTCCGCTCGTTCCGAATCGTGCTCCCGCTGCAGCGCTGGCCTCATTTCTGGGCTTCCGCTCGTTGTGAATCGTGCTCCCGCTGCAGCGCTGGCCTCATTTCTGGGCTTCCGCTCGTTGTGAATTGTGCTCCCGTTGCAGCGCTGGCCTCATTCCCGCGCTTCTGCTCGTTCAGAATCGTGCTCCCGCTGCCGTCATTATTTCCAATGCCATGCCACGGCGTGCAATGCAATGCTATGTGGTGTTCCGCTGTGCGATGCCATGCCTTCAGCTGCAATGCTAGGAGATGCAGTGCTCGACTACGCAGTGCCACGTCATTCTATGCCTTGCTACGCTTTGATCTTCAACGCCATGCTATGCCATGTTCTTTTGTGTGCCGCTGTGCGATGCCATTCTTTGCGTTGCAATGCTTTGTGATGCAATTCTTCACTACACAACGCCACGCGATGCTATGACATACTATGCTCTGCTGTGCTCTTCTACGCCATGCTATGCCGTGCTGTACGATGCATCGCGCACCCTCTCGGGATCATTACCCTGCACGACATCCGACTGTGCGAATAGAGAGGATATCTACGCCATGGTAAGCAATGGGAGGGAGAGGTAGGACGTCAGATATGACGCGAGCGCATCTAGCTTGTCTCTCTCCTCTCCCCTCCTCCTCTCTCACCCACCCTCTCGCCCAACCAACCACCCATCCACCTACACCCTTCCCTCCCTTCATCCCTCCCTCCCCCCCTCCCCTCCCCTCCCGTCCCCTCGCCTCCCCTCCCTTCCCTCCCTCCCTCCCTCCTACCCTCCACTCCCTCCCATCACTCGCCTCCTTCCCTCCCTTCCTCCCTCCCCTCCTCCCCCCCTCCCATCCCTCCCTCCCTCCCTCCTTCCCCTCCCCTCCCCTCCCCTCCCCCCCCTCCCCTCCCCCTCCCCTCCCC